ATTGACTTTATACTAATGAATAAGAGAGAACTACACAGAGTGAAAGAGTGAAGGATTGGAGTTTCAGACGTTTCCGATCATAATGCAATCGATCTTAAGATCCATCTGGACAGCAAAAAGAACAATACTTTATGGAGACTAAATGAAGGAATATTAAATAACAAGGGTCTAGTTGGTGAAATAAAAGAGGAGATGATCCGATACAAAGAGGAAAATGATAATGGTGAAGTAGATCCTGTAATTCTTTGGGATGCCCTGAAGGTGGTAATACGGGGAAAATGATTTCTTACACAGCATTTATGAAAAAAACACGATTAGAAACCTACAACAAACAAATAAAGAAGCTAAGAGATTTAGAACAACATAAACAAACAAATGACCCAGACGTATTTAATCTGATTAAAGAAACCAGGAAAGAAATGGATGAGAGTTTATGGGAGGAGGTAGAAAAGAAGGCCAGATTTACTAAACAAACGTACTATGAGGGAGGACCGAAAGCTACAAAACATTTGGCTAGGCGCATTAAGAAACAACAAACAATAGGTGGCATACATAAAATAAAAGACCCACTATCTAATACAATTTTATATGAACAAGAAGAGATACAAAGAACATTTGAGCAATACTACAAAAATCTATATGCACAGCCGCCATTGGCAGGGGAAGAGGAGGCGAGTAATTTTCTGGAAAAATTGGATTTACCAGCAATAGGCACAAAACAAAATGCAACACTAACTTCTCAAATTACAGAGGAAGAGATTATAAAGGCAATTGGCAGGACTAAAACAGGAAAGTCACCAGGGTCAGATGGTTTAGGGGCTTCTTTTTATAAAACCTTCAAAGAAGAATTAACACCACTGTTATATGACTCGTTTAAAGTCTCAGGACTGGCAAGATGCCTCCTTCTTGGAAGGAAGCCATTATTTCCGTAATCCCAAAGGAAGGTAAAGACCAAGAATACTGCCACAACTATCAACCGATATCGGTACTAAATGTAGACTATAAACTGTTTTCCTCCATCATAGCTAAAAGAACACAGTAAAAACTGCTGGGTTAAAAATAACCCAATACGTAACCCAGCGCTGGGTCAAATATGGACCGACCCAACGCTGGGTTGTTTTAACCCAACTGGGTTGGGTTGAGGGTTTGACCCAGCACATTGGGTCATGGCAACTAACCAAATGTTGGGTTAAATTGACTTGTTTAAATTGGTTAAATTGACCCAAAATTGGGTTGAAATTCATAACCCAACACAAGGGTTATTATACCACTATAGTTGGGTTAAAAAAAAATTATTTTAAATTTCACTATATAAAAAAAGGATTAAAAGGCATATGAATTTAAAGCTTATTTTATTTCCACATGATACATATATAGAGCCAGCAATTTCATTTACAAAAGTTACAAAACATAAGTAGTTAAATCACTTCAATTCATTTGGCTACAACTCCAGAAGTATCTGTTTCTCCATATTAGAAAACATTTAATGANAACCTGCAACATCCTTTAAATAATTTACAATAAATAGTCTACAAATTTGAATAATTTAGATAACTTAATTTAAATGGTTCACTATCCATTACACATGTTTTACTGTACGTGTACAGAGAGACAAAGACAAGTTGTAGTACTACAGGGTTTGTGCATTGTACTGTTGAATGTTTGTGAAACCATCAGGTTTTGTATCAGAACCGTGTTCATGGTGTCAGTTTTCTGTTATGCAGAGATACACCTGAATGCACACAAGAAAACAGTTTAAATTCACTAGATTTATAAAGAACTACTGACATTAGTGGAAATAATACAAAGCTTCACTTTAACTTTAAGTCAGAGGTGCCCAAAGTCAGTCCTCGAGGGCCGGCATCCTGCATGTTTTAGTTCTCTCCCTGGTGGTAGTAACCTCCTCAGCAAGTCAATGTTCTCCTTAGGCCTTCTAACAAGCCATCATTTGATGCAGGTGTGCTAAACCAGGTATCAAGTGCACTCATCATTGCGGTTGCGGTCATAAATGAGGTTGCGGTCATAAATACGGTATATATCTGCATTATATTGACGTTAACCCTTGTGCGTGCGAGGTCTGAGGCAAACGTAGAGTACTGTGGCAAATGATACAAGTTTTACGTATGTAGGGTCGGTTGGACCCCATTTCTAAACACAAGGGTTAAATGGGTTTTCTGCCCAAGCTTAAGCCTAATAAGGCATTAATCTTCTTTATGTGGACAACTGCATCTCTTACACAAACTGTAAGAGCTTCATCTTCCCAGTCCATGAACTCTCACTGATTTTCCAATAGTTTCAGGCTCATTGCAGTCTGGAGCTTTGGTAGTTTTTGGTTTGTTCTGCAAAATTCTCAATTTGTAAGAAGGTGACAAGTTGGGTCTTCTTCTAGATCTTGGTTGGTGGTGATAAATGCTTTTTTTCTGTTAAAGAGAGGAAGCTGACTCCAGCGAGTCTGACTTTAGTTTTTTTGTTGGTGCACTCGAGAGGTATAACAGTCTATAACGTGACAGTCTGTTGGAGTGAAGCTACACATTTAGAGTGAAGAGGATCTGGGAGCAGATGAAGAGTTGACTTTGACTTTATTTTAACTAAATGGCAAAAGTGGCATCCATGTTGGTCTCATAGATCCAGAGCCTTTTATGGGGGAAGGGAAAGTCGGTCATTTGTTTTTGTTGAGCTCACATTTCCTTTTGTATTTTCAACCCGACTGCGTCAGGGTTTCCCCACTGTGGGACAATAAATTGGTTTAATAATGTTTTGGGTTTTTAAATGTTCATATGACTATTGAATTGACTGCCTGCACCTAAAACACATAACATAATTTTTAAGAGTATTGTACTAAAGCATCGTTTGGCTTTAACTGCGGATGAAGTGAAGTTGTAAGTTTTGAAGTTTGGTCACCTACAATAAAACAAGTGGGAGACAGTGAGTGAGCTGTATCTACCCCAAGTGTCTACCATATCAAACATAAAATATTGTATCCAGTTGCTGAACTACACTGTGACTTCTTTCCTGTTTTAGCACCAACCAACATCACCACTATCCGCCTTAAGGACAAAGTCCTGAAAACATGGATACGTGCTAAAATAATGGAGGTTGAAATGCTGAGGACAGTCCCTGGTCAGCAGCTGCTAGAAGGCTTACTGGTTGCTATGGTTTCCCAGCGTAGAAAAGAGATCACTGGAGATCAACCACACATCACAAAGACAGTTCCCTGTAGGGAGCTCTGTTCCATGACAGACAGGTGGCCACACAACTTTGCATTAAGTGATTTGATTGTGTTAAGACTGTGTGGACGGTAAATATATTTTCTGTCTCATCTCCTTAGATTAGGTCAGATTTCAGGAGAACCATCACCTCAGACATTCTGGAATCTTTCCTTGACACAATGGCCTGGTCCCAACACTGAGCATTTGCCAAACCCAGAAAGAAGCAGTCGCTCAGACATTTTGGACCATTTAATGAAACATGTAATAGGAACTGTGGATCCTAGAACATTTGCTATGCTTATTGAAACATTTCCATCGCACTGAATACCTTGTATTGGCAAGGAACCAAATGAAAGATGAAGGGCAGCTACTCTGCTTGGTCTGCCACACTACATATCAGGCAAAGATCCATCACCTGTCCTCAGGATGTGTGACAAAAGACCAAAATAATTGTATAATGCAAATACTGTTTAGATTTTTCCTGGTTTCACATTTTTGCTTTCTTTTTTTTCCTTTACTTTTTTTCTTAATCTTTTTGTAGTGTTTGTGCATGTATGAGTGTTGTGGGGGCAATGGCATCCAAAATCTTGTGATATAAATATATCTTGGAGTAATGGCATTTGGGGTCATTCCACAGAGAGCATATTAAAGATGTGACTCATTGCATTGCCGTCCATATGCGGCTCATCTACTGCGTCATTCGACAACATGGAATATCCTTTGAGTTTCTTCAGAGTGGTAACGACCAGACCAGACTCTGCTCAAGGCCATGGATTGAGAGTAGCGTTGTGGGAAGGAGTAATGTTATGCACTGTTTTCTGATTCGATAAGCAACTAGAAATGTTTATAAGTGTCTTTGTTATTTTGTTTATGTTTTGTTTAGATTGTCCCTCTTGAGGGTAAAAATGTCATCAGGGTCCACAAAGAGAGTTCCTACAGCTATGTCTACATTACATTTATTAAGTTCTCAACTTATTTAGTTTATATTTTAGTTCATTATTACACACTCTACACAAACAGATCTGATTAGATGATACACAGTAAAAACTGCTGGGTTAAAAATAACCCAATTCGTAACCCAATTCGTAGCGCTGGGTCAAATATGGACTGACCCAACGCTGGGTTGTTTTAACTCATCTGGGTTGGTTTGAGGGTTTGACCCAGCACATTTGGTCATAGCAACTAACCAAATGTTGGGTTAAATTGACTTGTTTAAATTGGTTAAATTGACCCAAAATTGGGTTGAAACTCATAACCCAACACAAGGGTTATTATACCACTATAGTTGGGTTAAAAAAAAGATTTATTTTAAATTTCAGTATATAAAAACAGGATTAAAAAGCATATGAATTTAAAGCTTCTTTTATTTCCACATGATACATATATAGACCCAGCAGATTTTATTTACAAAAATTACAAAACATAAGTTGTTTCAAAAGTATATAGTTAAATCACTTCTACTCATTTGGCTACAACTCCGGAAGTATCGGTTACTCCACATTAGAAAACATTTCATGTAAAAAGTCTGTTTTAAAGCAAACTACAAGTAAAACTTTCAGCCTTTAAACAAGGGGCATCTTTAATAACACTTTAGCATTTTTGCCCTTCTCCTTGCATGAGGACATACGGGTTGTCACATTTTGTAGATGCACCACCAGGTTTGTCCCAACCTGATGGAGAGAGAAGACAGAAAAAACAGGCCATTAGTGATGAACTTATATAAACAGCAAACAATTTGAGCATGATTCAGAGATGAATGTTGACTTACAGGCTGGATATCAATGAAACCTTCTGAACTTCCAGGTTGATGGATCTGAAACTCTTCTCCCAAATGTGTAAGTAGGGAGGAGAACTGGCAGCAGCTGCAGGGCTACATCATCTTGTCTGTCTGGCAAACATAAGCTTGTGTTAAAATGTTAAATGTTAACAGTTTATAAACATCTCTTGAGCTTCATTACCTTAAGGGAGAAAATTCATGTTGTTGAGAAGACGGCCGCTCCTTTCTCTTCTTGGCCATACAAAAGATCTTTGTTGAGAACAAGAGAGAGAAGACACAAAAACAGGCCATTAGGGAATTTAAAGGTAAAGGAATACATTCTCAAAAACTAATTTCTGACTGATTCTAGTTTAACACAAAACCTCACTATTGAATGTGATGCACTTAAACAATTTGAGCATGATTCAGAGATGAAGGTTGACTTACAGGCTGGATATCAATGAAAACATCTGAACTTCCAGGTTGATGGGTCTGAAACTCTTCTCCCAAATTAGTAAGGTGGAGCAGGGAGGAGTACTGGCAGCAGCTGCATAGCTACATCATCTTCTGTATCAAACATAAGTTAGTGTTAAAATGTTACAGTAACTAAAAAGCATGACAACATTTTAGAGAACATTTCTTCTGAGCTTCAATACCTT